TAAGACCTAACGTCCAAAACATATATCCATATCCTTTAAGACATCCTAATCCAAAAAGTTACAGACTTTATGTCTTTGCATGCATAGATGGGGGTTAAAACATGATTTAAGTCCTTAAACAAACTTTGTGACCATCAAACACTCGGATGGTTGTGGCTTAACCATCAAGGTCCGATTTTTACGACTCTAAATGCTTCCAAGAGCTCAAAAGGACAACTCTTATGGTCCGGAACTACCAGGATACAAGAAACCTCAACAATGGAGTCAAAATAACGCATAAAACACCCCAAAACTACAACTAAGCATGAAATGGTCAATTTTGAAGCTTGATACCTCAAATGAGTCAGAAATGGTGCTAATCTCATGGATCTACAAGCTCTCTTTAAGTCCTTGATCCTTCTTCGAACATCTTTCCCTTTAAAATCACCAAAACAGCACCAAAATGCTCTCAGATGGCTACCAAATCAGAAGAACACACAAATATGGATTAGGGTTTTCATGAGAGTTGCTTAAAGGTGATATGGAGGCTAGACTAAGGGCATAAGGTTCTTTATATAAGGATCAAACCCTAAATTTTAGGGTTTTAGAGACTGCATGTGTACGTTGCGCGTACGTGCATGGAATCCACGTCCTTATCTCTTGAGTATGCCGAGCGTACCTTGCATGGTAAGACCCGCATACGACACTCCTCAGCCAAAATCACAAGGACCCAATGGGCCAGGCCCAAACCATTTCAATTCATTAAATATTAATAATACCTTATAAGTCCCGAACGTTACAAATCTCCCCCACTTGAATTCGACTTTATCCTCGAAGTCAGCTGTTGCCACCGAGAATAACTCAGCGTAATGCTCCCTCATCTTGTCCACTGGCTCCTACATCCACTTCGAGCCCTTACGGTGTTGCCACTACACCTTCACCAGCTCTACTTCCTTTTCTCTCAGAGCCTTTGTCTTCCTGTCGAGAATGGCTACAGGCTTGTCGATGTAGTTCAGGCTGTCATTCACCTGAATGTCCTCCAACAGAACCACCACAGAATCATTGTCTTCGCACTTCCGTAGCTGCGAAACATGAAAAGTGTTGTGGATTTGTCTAGGCTCCTCGGATGGTTAAGCCGATATGCTACCTTTCTCACCCGGGCTATAACCCTGAAAGGTCTGATATACCTGGGGCCCAACTTGCTTCGTTTTCTGAAGCGGATGACACCTTTCCAAGGTGATACCTTCAGAAGGACCATATCCCCGACATGAAACTCAAGGTCCAATCAATGTCTGTCAGTGTAGCTCTTCTGCTGACTCTGGGCCCTTTGGATTCTACTATGGACCTACTGGATCTTCTTCGTTGTCTTAAGTACCACCTCGGTAATCCTCATGAATCTTTGACCGACCTCACCCCAACATATTGGGGTCCTGCACTTCCTCCCGTGAAGCATCTCGAAAGGAGGTCGATCGATACTGGTGTGGTAGCTATTATTATAAGAAAACTATGCCAAGGCAAGGTAGGTATCCCAACTTCCAACAAAGTCTAAAACACACGCCGCAACATATCCTCCAAAGTCTATATGGTCCGCTTGCTCTGGCCATCCGTCTGCGGGTTTAAGGTCGTGCTAAAGTGCAGATAAGTACCCAACTCGTCATGAAATTTCTTCCAGAATCTGGAAGTGAACTGTATATTCCTATTTGAAATTATAGAAACCGTCACCCCATGTTGAGCTACTACCTCCTGAATGTAGATGTCTGCCAACTTCTTGGACCAAATACTCTCCTGAATCGGGATGAAGTAGGCGCTCTTGGTCAATCGATCCACGATGATCCATATCGAGTCAACTCTACGCGCCATCTAAGGTAATGAAGTCCATTGTAATATCCTCCCATTTCTACATGGGGATATCCAACGGTTGAGTCTTGCTGTGAGACCTCTGGTGTTTGACCTTGACCTTTCTGTAGGTCAAGCACCTATCAACGTACCAGGCTACATCCCGCTTCGAGCAGGGCCACCAGTAATCAAGACGAAGATCTCTATACATCTTTGTCGCCCCCAGGATGGATGGAAAATCTGGATTTGTGTACCTCCTCCATCAGGACTTGGCGCACACCTCCCAATTATGGAACCCACACTCGACGATGTTGTATCATTAAACTGTGGCTATCAAAGTCGAAGGAGGAAATCTGACCCATGATACGCTCACTCTTCCGGTTCTCCTCCTTTATAGCCTCCTACCGAGACACCCGGATCCACTCCATAATTAAAGTCACTACCATCATCCTCAGGAAGATGTCTCTAACCGGGGCTGCGAATGCCTTGTGGCTAAGTGCATCGGCCACAACATTGGCCTTCCCCGGGTGGTAAAGGATCTCACAATTGTAATCCTTCACCACGTCCAACCACCATCACTGTCTCATGTTTATATTTGGTTGGTACATAAAGTACCTCAAACTCTTGTGATCCATGTAAATGGTACAATGAACCCCATAGAGGTAGTGTCGCCAAATGCTGAGGGCAAAGACAACTTCCCCCAACTCCCGGTTGTATATCAGATAGTTCGGCCTGATAAATCCTCTGTCTAACAGCTCCTGCAGCTATGTAGACAACTCCTACATCTCAGAAGGAGCCAACTGATACGGTGCCTTCGTTATTGGAGATGCACCTGGAACTAGGTCAATCCTGAACTCCACCTGTCTCTCTGGAGGTATCCCAAGCAAATCTTCTGGGAACACGTCCGGATACTCCTACATAACTGGCACATCCCTCATATTCGCCTTACCCTCATCTCGAGTATCCATAATGTAGGCGACAATACCGGTACATCCCTAATGTAGGTAGCGTCAGGCTCTCACTATTGAACACATGAGCGATCAACACTGCGGTCTCTCACCTTGAATCACCAACTCTCCCCCACTTGGGGTCCTAACCCAAACCAACTGCTGCTCAGAGTCGATCACCGCCCCCATTAGGTCTCAACCAATCCATGCCTATGATGACCTTGTTCCCACGCAATGGAATGGGAACCAAGTCCATGAGGTAACGCTCGTCATACATCCTCAGGACACAATCTCTATAAACCTCCGATGCCCGGACATATCAGTCGTCCGTAATCTTGACCTCTAAAGGACACTCCAACATGCTCGTAGACTTAGTAAACCACTTGTCAAGTGTAAAATAAATGAAAGATCGGGTAGCTCCCGAGTCAAATAACACCAACACTGGGATACCATTCACATGGAACGATCCAAAATCAGAATACATAGAATCATAAATATCAAAACTGAAATATAATAAAAGATGGGGAGAAGAAACATACACGTCACCACATCTAGTGCAACATGTGCCTCCTCAGCAGTCAGCTAGAAGGCTCGACTCCTCACCATAGGAGCATCTGGCTTGCCTTGTCGGCCATCGGTGATTCACAGGGTCGCTAGAGCTGGCACCACCACTGGCGCTCCTGATAACAATCTCTAGCAGTTGGCCTTTTTATGGCCCTTCTGATTGCAATGGAAGCAAATTAGGTCTGATGTGTGATTGGTGGGGGTAGGGGTAGTACAATCCATGCCAAAGTGCCCAAGGTTGCCACACTTATAGCAGCCCGATGTCCCTAATCTTCAAACTCCCTCATGTGTCTTGCTGTACTTCCCACAGTAGCTCTGGCCAACTAGCCCTTTGACCTTGAGTCGAATCCCTTGGGTTTCTTCATTAAAACCTCAATCGTCTGCCAGGCCTCTGCCTTCCTCTTCCTAATGTGCTCTATGTTAACTGCCTCTCTTGTGCCATGGCTATCATGTCATCCAAAGTCGGGCACACCGAGTAACTGACATATTTCCGAATGTCAGCTCTCAGCATTTCATGGTACCGGGTTTTCTTCATCTCCTCATCACCCGCGTACCGAGGCACCAATAAGGCCCTCTCCTTGAACTTGATGGTAATCTCCGCCACTATCTCCGTTGTCTGCCTCATATCCAAAAACTTTCTGGCTAGCTACTGAATCTCCATAGCTGGCACCACTACTAGAAAAATAGCCTTTTACGACGCGTAATGCATGTTGTAAAATGCTCAGACGACACACAAATGCATGTCAAGGAAGGCCCTATCATAAAGGAAGTCGAGACGCACATTTACGATGCGCATCTACGACGCGCAATGCGTGTCAAGGAAGGCCCTGTCATAAAGAAGATGATACACATTTGCGTGTCGTAAAACTACACAGATTTACGGCTAGCATTGCGTATCATTAAAGCTTGTGTCATAAAGAAAGACGACACACATTTTTGCGTGTCATAAAGTTTAAATGTTTTAAAATTTATATACTTGTTGTAAATTTACTAGTTTTCAAATTACATCACATATTTGTTGTCTCATAATATAAAATAAAATTTCATACACAAAAAATAAAATAAATTGCACAAAGTAAATATGCCATACAAATAATTATTCAAATGTTAAACAAAAATAATACATTGCTAACATGGGTTATACATTCCTATAAAACTAACAAGCCTCAGTGACCTTGATCTAGATTGAGGTTGACTTGCCATGGCGGCGATTGGATTTTAGATTCACGACATGATTACTGACCTAAGACCTTGAGAAACAAGTTCATCCCATGCTCAATTTCCAGCAACCACCACACATTTTAGTGTCTCAAGGGCTAGTATACTTCCTCATTGCCATCCAATAGCTTTCATTAACAATGGAACCACCTGTAAGGGTGAAGTGGGGTTGTACCTATACATAACCACAACCATAACCACAAGTTACAAAATGATAAACAAAGTCAACCAAATTAATATTAAGATGATGGGATCTAAAATGCCATACCAATTTGGGAAAAGCATCTATCACTTGGATAACCGTAAAGGGTAAGAAGGTAAAATCAGTTGGTAAAAATAATAATAATGTAAATTCATTGGTAAAGTTTAAGAAAGTAAACTCAGTTGTAGAAGGGGATAAATCAGTACTTGTCCCAATTCCCACTCTAGAATTCCCAGCTTCTTCATGTGCAATTACTAATTAGGTGACATGTCAACCGAAATCCTATGTGGCATCAGTTCTTCTCCAGCCTCAACCGTATCCAACATTAACTGTCAATCCAACACACAACCATCAATAAAATAACAGGTACATATATAGATAAATATACAGATAAAGCTAAAGGGTTAACTAATATTCTTATGGAGTTACCTTCCAATCTTTGAAATCAAATCTAAAGAGGAAATGAGTGTAGGAAATCTCCTTAGAAGCAACTGCATTAGCACCTGGAAGCCTTGGTGCTATAAGAAACAATATAAATAAGTGATTTATGAATTGATAGAAGAAGGTTTTTGAAGAAACATTATTTGTTGAAAACTTACAAACTAAATGATCTCCTTTATCATTGACTTTTAATTCTGCACGACCATCTTTAACAAGATGTTCTATTCAAGACTAAAGTTTCAAGCTTGATAGTTCTGTTCCTTCTCAAAAAATCAAACATGGTTGACATGTTCTTATCAGTGTTTGTTTTCTCTTCTGTAACACTTGAAGCAAGCTACAAAAATGCAATAGAAAGTATACGTGTTTATATGATGCATAAATGTAAATTAAGTCTCAAACTGTAAGCATAATTACCTTTTCAGGGCGAGCTTTTTTAGTTAATCTTGCATGCTTACTATGCTTTACAACCTTTCATTGCTTGATTTCAGAGTTCATTAGCCCAATCCTATAATACACAAACATAAGTTTAGAGATAAAGTGTGTGTGTGAGAGAGAGAGAGAGAGAGGGAGAGAACGAGAGAGAAAAAGGGATTGGTGCTTACATTCTGCAACATCCAAGAAAAAGAAGACATGATTCCAAAGGTCTAGGAAATATAAAATGAAAAAAAAACATATAAATATTGATACACCTGTGGCACTCCCACTAGATATTTCACAAGATTCTTGAAGACACTTGTTGTAGAACCATCAAGACATAAAAAAACATGGATTATGAAAAAAAAGGAATATTATTATTTATTATTTTATTACCTTTCCATTTCTTGATTCCAAAGAAGGGCATATCTGTCACGTATGATACCACCTGAATTTACCAAAGCATCAACTTCTGATTGCCTATTTCTTTCAGACCTTTCTCATTGTTGTCTGATTAATATTCCTCTAAAATCTTATGGCATGTAGCTTATAACTGCATCCACATCATCAATGTATTTTGGTGTAGACTATTTTTGAAGCTGCCAACAACAAAAAAAATACAAAAACTAAAAGGTGAGATGGGATTTACAAATAATTAAATAAATAAATAAATATATAAATAAATAAATAAATAAATAAAAGAATTAGTATCTCGTAGATTTTGGCCAATGAGAGCTCTGAAGAAAGAAAAGAAAAGAAATAAAAATACTATTGTTTTATGAATTAAGATAAGAATCTTACTTCACACATTTGATGGAGTTATGTGCTGTGTCTTCCAATAAGAACAACACAATACCAAACTATGGTGTCATTTCCAGCACGTGAGTAGCCTTTTGGATCACAATCAAGCTCCATAGATGTAACCCTTCTTAATTCGGGAAGAACTAATGAAAAATTAAATAATTAAATATAATATTAGGTGTGAAAATAACAAAAATGATTTATGCACCTTGATGTTTATTTTGTTCCATGACATCAATAAGTCTTGAATTATTGATTGAGCCATGGTAGACTACAGGTTTGACATCGGGGTCTCTTAGAACAACAATTCCAGGAGCTTCTTCCATACTAAATCTATAATTATTATTATATGTAAGTTAAATTAGTCACTAGTTTAAACAATTGTTGAGGAGAGAGTTTATTGAAATTACCAAAGCGTCCCTAGAGTAGTAAGAAATGTGAGGTAAGCTTAGTATGGTTGTTGCAAACCAAATAGTAACAACATCAATAGAAAACTTCAGACTTCCCCTTTAAGTTCAATCTCAAAGAGCATACATAAAAGAATAAATGAAGACTTTCAAAATATTGGAAGAACTGGAGAAAAGGGTATGATTGAGTTACCTCATGCAATAGTCAAATTTAGTAGGAAAATCAATCTTAGTCATAAATAGCTCAACAAATCCCCCTTCTTTGCATTTATCAATACATTTGAGTGCCAAAGGAGCCTCCTCTTGAAGCTGAAACTCATAGAAAATGTCTATTTTAAATGGTCAAATAGAATATAATGGTCTAATCACTAGTGAGTGTGTGTGTGTGTGAGAGAGAGAGAGAGACCTTTGTGCCATAGACAATACCACCCCTAGAGAAAGGGTGAAAGCAAGCCACATTCATCTCATCTTCTGCAGTGGGAAGCACACTCACCACTTCCATATCCGAAACTCTATATACCTACAATATTCAAAACCTCAACCTTTTTTAATTTTTTTTCAACACAGTTATTTATAAAAATACTGAAACCCTATTATTTACCTCTAAAACTATGTAAATGGATAAAGATGCATCTCCATTGGTATCAATGCTTTTCAGAAGAGAGATATGACACCTCCCATAAGCAAGCAAGATGTGCTCAGAAGTTGGTGAAAACTGCACCATCAAATCATCAATCAACATTATAATTGTAAATACTAAATATACTAAATATATACTACATGTTATGTCACCTGGATTGATGTCAAACAATGGATAGCTCTGATTGTCCTTGAGATAAGTACCAAACCAAACCTACACAAGTACAATCAATAATTGTCATACTCTTTTTTAATGATAACAATACAAAAATGGAAATGGAAGGAATAGTCCTCTCTTACGTTGCCTTCTCAAGTGAATATATTCTGAGTTCATAGATGACTTGGTGTGCAGAGATAGGATGGCGTGTAGGAGATGTTCCGGGCACCCTACCCTCTTGATGATGAAGTTGTGATTGTACCCTAGAAATTGAATCGCCTTCAAACTGAGGAAGCACACATGCAACACAAGCAGCCACAAGCTGTAAAATGAGCACCCATTTCACCGCAACAACATACAATACAAACATCACCCCCACCAAGCTCCTTATTTTTTATTTATTAAAAAATGTTACCTGCAAAGGATAGCATGCGATATTGTTAAGCGACATCGTTCAGGTTTGAGAGAGGCACATGGATTGTTTGAATCATGAGACTAAATTCTTAGCTTTACAGTGCAAGGAAACTCAGCAGCAACTATGGCAGTAAGTGATGCAGACAGTTGAGACTGTCATCATAACCTCCAAACATATCTTAATGGGATACCTAATATTTCTCATTTGTATGATATTTCAAAGGTGAAACCACATTTAGAAAACTCGAATTATGTCTGTCAAAGTTATCTACATAATCAAATTTCAGTTCATTGTGGATGTTATTTGAAGGTCCAATCATAGGGCCAGGAGATTGTTCACTAGCCTGCTTTAAAAAATAATGAAATACTATTACTAACCTGCTTTAGAAAACTTGCAAGCTTTTTAACCTTAGCCTTTTCTTGAACCAACTCTCCTTCCCTTTGCTTTAGAAAACTTGATCAGGTAGTTCTTCAAGTTTGTTGCTATTATCCTTCGAACAATATTTGTTTAATAACATATTAAATCTTAACATATTAAATAAAACAAAAATAAATAAATTAAATAGACCATACCAATTTCCCTGAAATGACACTGAGTGATTCAGTGTCTACTGCCATGCTTTCCCTGCAAAGTTAATCTCATCAAGTAGGTTTGGTTTGGCTATATCTCCTTTTTCATGAATCTATATAGTATAACTGTTCTAAAGCGTTGTTTCTTATTTACATAATAGCTAAATAATGACAAGATTTAATATGCTATATATGGGTGTTCCATGTCTTTATGCTGACCATAAATGGATGTAATCATGTAAATCACAACTTTGAAAAAAAATTAAGATGAAGTCCAGAAGACCAGAAGTTTGAAAAATAGAAGCTTAAGCAATTAAATAAACTATCATACCTTAAACCACAATCTATAATACGCCCCAACTCAATAGTAGATTCTCAAGGACGACTTGAATCGAACAAAGGATCCGCCATGGATGAGAACTCAGTGTAGATTGTAAGTGTCCCTTCATTAGGCCTATCTCGATAAGGGTGTACTAGTTGTTCAGTGACAAATCCCATAACTCGAGTCTGTCTAAGCTGGATCTCTGATGAACCATCTTTTCTACAATATGAAAAACTGATCGTTCGTCAACAAACTGTTTATTTTTAGCCAACGGAATAAGAAATCAAGTGACGAGTTTGGGATTTCTTACCTTCCGAAGATGATAAATAGTTTTCTATAATCGAAAGGATGCCTACCATCAACTTTAATGTAAGATAGTAATGCAGAGTCGATGAATTTCTTCTCCTTCATCGACGCTGTTACACTAGGGTTTATAAGGGAGAAGACTGGTGAATAAGTTGAAACCAAAGAGAGGCCGAAAACATACATACCCACTTACCTGTAGATAGAGTAGTTGTTTCTAGTTGTTGTAGGCATGGATGGTGGCGATTTTTTCTCTCTTCGATTTGAGTCGACGAGAGGGTTTTGGGAGGGTTTGGACCCAAATCGATGTATATCTAAGCCTCCATGGTAGAATTACTGAAGATGGTGAAGCGGATCGGAGAAGAGGGAGAGGGGAGAATTGATTGCGGAGAGCCGGAGATGAAAGAAGAAAGAAGGTAGAAAAGTAGGTTTTCAAAATTTTGGGGATTTCGTTTTCCCCTGTATCTACTAAATACACATTTCTTTAAAATTATAAAGCGAGACTTATAGAGGATGCACATTTTAGATAAAGTGCCCTCCGTGTTTTTAATTTTTTTACATTAGACATCAATTTAAGGGCACACAATAATGCGTGACCTAAATCCTTAATTTTTTTTTGAAGAGATGACACTTTTTTAATGTCACTATCTTTTGCGTAACATAAATCAATAAGTGTCGTGGTTTGCGCGTCGTAAAAGGGTCTTTTTCTTCTAGTGCATAAACTCAGCACGAAATCTAGTCATAAAGTAAGACCAGGTTTTAGCCTCAATGGCTGGGGCTCCCAATGTATCATTGACTGCCTCCCACCAGTCCCTAGCTCTCTCCCTCAAACAACCAGCAGCATACCTGGCCTTCGACCCCTCAGGGCAGAAGCTCGTCAACTGTGCAGACTCGACGTCTGCAATCCATCGCCTAGCCATAATGGGGTCTTTCACCCTGTAGAAGTATGGTGCTCTACATCCCCTAAAATCATTGAAGGAGAGCGTATGAGTCCCTGACTGGCCAGGTGCCATGTCGCTCTCGAATGCCCTAAGGCGATCCTCCATCAGCTTAATGACACCCTCCTTGATCGACCCGAAAATCACCGGCGTCAACTCAAGGATACCTCTTGTAATCTTGGATGAAATGAACTCGCGCGATCCATCATCAATCAACTCAGAACTCATACCCGAACCTGACCCAGACCCTGAACCTCTTGCTACGTGACGTGTCACCACCATTCTGAAACAAAACACACATTCATTAGAGTCATACAAAACATTGAGATACCTCACGCACACTACAAGTTCCTTGGTTTAATCTTAGTTCTCCTTGAATTGAGTATGGATCCTCTGCTTTCAGTTGTATGGGCCCATACTACCTTCCACATCTATCCGTACTTTCCTCAAAGATCGTGTTGACCTCACCAAGTCCCTTTCACTGCTACTGCTCGCTGCACTAATCTCATCCTAGGCGTACCCTAGGGTAATCTCCAACCCACTCCCCACCATCAGCTGCATAAGAAGTCTCTGCTATCTCTCCCTAACTATCTTGAGAATACCATTACATATTACTAAGACCAAATAATTCTTCGAATGAGAGGTCCTACCATACAACGGTTGGACTCAGACAAGAGATGCGAAATAGGGCTAGACCTAACCTTCTGAAATTATTTAGTCCTTGTAATATGTAACTTAACGCATTCGTTTAATAGTTAATTAAAGATAACTAGGACTCCTAAAAGCACAAAGAAAGCAACATTCGAGCATTGAGTAACCAAAACCAAGCATATCCTAATCAGGCAATCATATTACTGACTAATCAATACTATCATGCAGTTCAATAAGCACATTCAGTAGGCATACCTGGCATCCTTCCTAGATCCTTAGCCTTAATCTAGCATGCATTTCAGTAAGCATATATAGTAGGCATACAAGGCATCATTCCTAGATCCTTAGCCCTAATCTAACATGCAATTCTCATAATCATATCAATATGTATGGGTATCTTAGGGAAAAACTTACCCGAGATTGGCCGATTGCACGCATCACACTCCTTGTCCTTCCTCAAGACCCTTAATTTTAATTTTTTAGAAAAAATGTTTTCATTGTAAAAATTTCTAAAACCCTCGATTTGAGTCCAGACGCCCCCAAATGTGTGCTCGAATCCCTCAACCCAAGGCTCTGATACCAACTTGTAACATCCCAAAAATCATGAAGAAAAATCTTTTTAATTGCGTAATTATAAAAACAATAGACAGAAAAACATCAATAGTGTCATCCCATATCATAATGTAAAAACCAATATCTCAAATATCAAAACATGTCATAAAGAAACAATCATCAGAGTACAACTCCCAAAGATCTTGTGTGCGGAAAAATCATAATGTGATGCACTGCGATCATGCTGAATCCTTTCCTTTCGAAGAAGAGGTACCTGAAACCAAAACTGAAAACTGTAAGCACGAAACTTAGTGAGTTCCCCCATCATACCACATACCATACTTTACACATACTGCCTAGAATAGTCGGGTGCTGGCCTACCCCTTCGGTCTTTTTCAACCGGTAACCGCACATCATATCAGGGTGTTGGCCTACCCATTTGGTCTCTTTCAACTGGTAACCGCCTAGCATATATGGGTGTTGGCCTACCCCTTCGGTCTCTTTCAACCGGTTACGGGGACTATTTCACCCCTACCACTACCACATAACATCCTAGCATATGCATATAAATCACATACCGCCTAGCATATTTGGGTGATGGCCTACCCCTTTGGTCCTTTCGACCAGTTACAATGACTATTTCACCCTTACCACTATCACATAATATCAGAACATACTAGCACGTAAAGCACAACAGATGGTGACATATCAAACAATTATCACAAAGACAATCATCTCTACTATAATCAGCTATTAGTGGGCCGACATTGGTGCCTTCGACCCACTTCTATAGGAAGGTAACTCACCTCGTAAGCTGAATGCAGAATCTTACGGTAACAAATCTCTAACAGCATCTCCGAAGACTCCTTGAGCTAACATTACCACAATAACCACTTAATCAAAAATTAATAATCCTTCTTAGGGTAAAGTGACCATTTTATCCCTGATCTACTTTGGCCAATGCCTAAGGGCCAACACTATAATATGAAAGGCCCAAATTTAAATAGTCTTCCCAAACCCACTAGTGGTCCAATTTTCTAAATTGGGCCCAACTCCTCAAATGGGCCTTATCGTAATTCCAACATGCTCTTAGCCCAAAATAAATAATTTTTGGTGGCCCATTATGGCCCAAAAGGCCCAATACTATAAATCTCTATCTCGGCCTAGAGGCCTTACTCCACAGTGGGTCATGAGGCCTAAACTTATAAGGCCCAAAAACCCATATTTGTTACTCTACATGCGTACGCGTGGCGTACTTGGCACGTATGCCTAGTGTACGTTGGCCTTTACCAGAAGCGGGAAGTTAACCCGGTATGCACAGCGTACCAAGGTGTATGCCCAGCGTACTGGCCAACTTCCTTAAGACTCTTTTTGTGACTTAATCCATTAAGTCCTAACATCCAGAACATAGATCCAGGTCATTTAATACATCCTAATCCATAAAGTTACAAACTTTATGTCTTTGCATGCATAGATGGGGGTTAAAACATGATTTAAGTCCTTAAACAAACTTTGTGACCATCAAACACTTGCATGGTTGTGGCTTAACCATCAAGGTCCGATTTTTATGACTCTAAATGCTTCCAAGATCTCAAAAGGACAACTCTTATGGTCCAGAAC